GCAACCTAATAGCAGCGATGGCCTTCAGCCTAATAGCGATGGCCTCCAACCTAAATAAGAAGGGCTTACAACAGCACACCACCAGGCCTTCAGACCTTTCTTTTCCCTACTAGTAAGGCACTTGTTACTACTAGTAAGGCACTTGTTTCTAATAGCTTTTTGTTTCTACTAGTAAGGCACCTGTTACTACTAGCGATGCACTTGTTTCTAATGAGTTAAGTTTCCATAAATGTCTTGGAATCAAATCAATCATGCGAAGGGTTCTTCAATGAATCCCCCCCCACGCCCGTAGGCAGGGGGAGCTTCCTTGAAGAAGCCTGAACTCTTTTGCGTCTAAGCCTAGTAGACTACTTACCCGTACAAAAAGAATGGTTTCTTTATGTTCTGTTTGGCAAGCACGGAGTAAGGAAGCTGTCTTCAATAATGTAAAGTCGTGATTTATAAACCTCCCCTAGTTAATCCGAGGCCACACAACCGCCGAAAAATGTTCAATTTAAAAGTAGTATTGGTGGCATATTTAAACTCTAATTGTCTAGTTGGGTACCAGAACCCGTCCAGTCAATCCGAGCCCACAAGCAGGTCAATTTTCTTTTTACTACTACTACTACTACTACTCCTCCTACTCCTGCTACTGCTACTCCTACTCCTACCCCTACGCCTACTCCTACCCCCACTCCTACTCGCTTCTTAGCCAATTAGCAGCTTATTGAGGGGAGGTGGACCTCATGAGTGATATCTCATATCTTCTTGACCTCAACAGTTTTTCTCATTGTGCCAGCAGATAGGGCGCAAGAATTTCATGTGCGAATCCTGTTCCCAAAAACCCGATTCCGCCTCCTTCGGCGGGCTGCCAGGCCCGGCTTGGGATTTCCGTAGCTTGTGGTTTAGGTCGACGAAGCAAGCTATGACGTTCTTTTCAACATGTCGCCTGTCACGTTTCAAATGTTATTTCTTCTCTGTCGATGTTTTTTCTAGACTTTCCGTCCTTCCTTCCGTCCTTTGCCCCTTCCGCAAAGCCCCTAGTAGCTTCTTGTTACTACTAGTAAGGCACTTGTTACTAGAAGCGATGCACTTGTTCCTAGTAGCTTATTGTTTCCGCTAACATCGTTTTTCGTTTTGCTAGTTCGCCGCTGCGCTGGCGGCAGCGCAGCTGGCTGCGGAGCCGCCGGAGCCCTGAGGGGGACAGGTGGAGACGGCTCTGGGGTAACGAGACCTGATGGAAACATTTTTGTTCCGTAATAATATGAATGCTACTAGTAACAAGTGCATCGCTACTAGTAACAAGTGCCTTACTAGTAGTAACAAGAAGCTATTAGCTTATTGTTTCTAATAGCAAACATTGCTACTAGTAGTAATGCCCTTTGTTACTAGTAGCGATGCCCTTGCTCCTAGTAGCTTTTTGTTCCTAGTATTGCCACGAGCTACAAGTAGCGTCCTTGCTCCTAGTAGCGATGCACTTTGTTGCTAGTAGCGTTTTTGTTCCTATACAAGCACAGGAGAACCTTACAGAAGCCATGAAGGATCCGAAGTGAATCGTCGGTGCACTAGCCCTTTACTGCAGCAAGACAGAATACAGAAACAACGTATTGGACAGCTTTTGCCATACTTAGGAGCGGAAGAAATCAAAAAAGACAACAATACTCGGCCGAAGTTGAATGTTTTTTTTGTCAATTAAATCAACAGCTCAATCAAGCGTTCGAATATCGGTTTTAGAGGTTTTTTGTGAAAGACCAACAGATGTCTCCTTGCGTGTCTCTGCCTGTGTGATCGGCGTTTTGTCTGAGACTGCCGCTCCTGCCTTGTCTTCTCATTGCACATTTGTCTCCTTACGCAACTCCCCACGTCCCCCAATTGTTCCCACTTGTTTGTGTGCTTGTCTCTCCACTTGTCTGCCTGTGTGTGATTGGAGACAGCGGGCACGAAGCCCAGAGTCACGCGGAGAGATGTTGTTGGGCCCACTCACAGTCGCTGGAAGCTCTCAGGTATATTTCTGAATTATTCCAATACTAATTCTAATAGCTTCTTGTTACTACTAGCGATGCACCTGTTACTAGTAGCGATGCACTTGTTACTACTAGCTAAAATAGCTGAAAGCTATAGGGTTCTTACTTCTCAAATGAGTGGTTGATCCCACTTGTTTGCCTCTGCCACACCTGTGTTATCGGCATTTTGTCTGAGACTGCCGCCTTGTCTCCTTACTCCTCCTCCCCATTTGTCGCCTCATTTGTCAAGCGTCCTTGCTCCTAGTAGCGATGCCCTTTGCTCCTAGTAGCGTCCTTGCTCCTAGTAGTATGGCCAGGAGCCCCTAGTAGCTTCTTGCTCCTAGTAGTAGTGCCAGGAGCTACCAGTAGCGTGCGTCTGCCTGTGTGATCGGCGTTTTGTTTGCCGCTCCTGCCTTGTCTCCTTACTTGTCTCCCCAACAAGGGTCCTAGACGGGAGTTTCTCCACAGCCTCGGCCCATTTTGCTTTGCGCGCAAAAAACACCGTGGAAAGCTACTAAACTGTAGCTTCGATGCTCACTGAAGTGTCTCCCCACTTGTCCCCTGCCTTGTTTCCCCACTTGTCTGCCTGTTCTGCCGCTGCTGCCTGGTCTCCTTTTGTCACCAGATAGCGATAGCTATAGGCCATAGGGATTCTTACTTCTCAATGACTGGGTGTACTACTAGGAGCAAGGACGCTAGGGTGCCAGTATTCCGTTTTAGTTTGCCGCTGCTCCGCCGCCGCGGCTGCTGCCTTCTCCCCCCCACTTGTCTCACGGGCTCGCTGGGCTACGAGGACACGATGTGCTTCCGTCCTTGTTACTAGTAGCGATGCCCTTTGCAGGAGCCCCTAGTAGCTTCTTGTTCCTATAGTAGTAAGGCCAGGAGCGCGTAGTGTCGTTGCTCCTAGTAGTACGGCCAGGAGCCCCTAGTAGCTTACAAGTGTAATTGTCTCCTGTGTGATCGTCATTGTTTGCCGCTGCTGCCTTGCCTCTTTTGTTCAGTTGTTTCCCCACTTGTTGTGATTGGCGTTTGGTCTGTCGCTGCCTTGTCTCACATGTGTTCCCACTTGACGGCCTGTGATCGGAGACTGGGGGCGTGGGCCTGAAGAAAGGTGAACATGTCCACAAGTGCCTTACTAGTAGTAACAAGTGCCTTACTAGTAGTAACAAGAAGCTATTAGAATTAAATTCAAATTACTAATAGCTTCTTGTTACTACTAGTAAGGCACTTGTTACTACTAGCGATGCACTTGTTACTACTAGCGATGCACTTGTTCCTAATAGCTTCTTGTTGGACAGAAAGGTGTTGGACCTAGACCCACTCACGGTTACTGGAAGCTCGCATGGACCTTTTGAATTGTGTGATGATTTGTCTCCCGGGCTTCTGTGCTTAGAGTTCGTTACGATTTTCGGTTTGTGGTGGTGTACTTTCATATTTTATACATATATGGATTCGGAAGTTGGAACAATCAGTGATACCTATGACCTATGGACACTTGTCGTGGCTAGAAGTGGCAGTTGCCAAACTTATATAAAAGCCTGCAAACACGTTGTGCTAAAAAATGTATCACTGCGTATCACTTCCACCCAAGAAGAGGTCCTGAGATTTGATGTCTGATTTGAGTTTCCACAGGCCGAGAAAAGAAGACATCCCAAGTTCGCTTACGTTCCACTTTTAGCGGCTAGACGGACAGGGATGGCTCTAAGTGACTGCTAGTGGATCGATGGATCGATCTTCTGCCCCCTTGGGCCGAACTAAGTCTCGCAATGGGTCCCTGCCGCACCATGCGCTGCAAAGTGCACCGCTTTGCTTCACTTTTGGCTCGATCTGAGATGTGCTAGACCCTTGTGGATCTGGCAAAATGGCAAACAAACTGTGCAGACCAAGATACAGACCACCAACTTCCGCTTTCCCGACAGTTCCTTAGGACAGCTTCAATGTTGCAGACACACATCTCGGAGTAGCACTCTGCAAGCTGAAAAGACCTCCACTGAAATGCAACATAAAGAGTCGATGACTTTTGTTCTGGTGACAAATGGCTTTGAAACATAAAGACATTGATTTCACTCACTACAGTCATACATCATCTCAGAGTCATCTCAGATTCTCTCAGTGATCTCCTCTTTGGTCTCGTCTGACTTGCTGTGACGTGTGGGCCCGCCATGGCGAAGACCGCGCGCAGATGCAGCGCGCGCAGCCGGAAACCCAGATTCGAGATTCGGGCAAGGAGCCCCTAGTAGCTTCTTGTTACTACTAGTAAGGCACTTGTTACTACTAGCGATGCACTTGTTCCTAGTAGGTTCTTGTTCCTCGTAGCGATGCCAGGAGCGCCTAGTAGCGTCCTTGCTCCTAGTAGTAAGGCCAGGAGCGCCTAATAGCTTCTTGTTACTAAAGATTCGCCAAAAGGGTTCCCAAAGAGCCTGATTTTCCCAAAGCTGCGTCCAGTTGCTGTCCTAGTAGGGAGCTTGCTTTTCTCTACGGGAACAACAAGAAACTACTAGCACCTCCTGGCCTTACTACTAGGAGCAAGGACGCTACTAGGGGCTCCTGGCCTTACTACTAGGAGCAAGGACGCTTCCAGGGGCTCCTGGCCTTACTACTAGGAGCAAGGACGCTACTAGGGGCTCCTGGCCTTACTACTAGGAGCAAGGACGCTACTAGACTACTAGGAGCAAGGACGCCTACTAGGGGCTCCTGGCCTTACTACTAGGAGCAAGGACGCTTCCAGGGGCTCCTGGCCTTACTACTAGGAGCAAGGACGCTTCCAGGGGCTTCTGGCATCGCTACTAGGAGCAAGGACGCTACTAGGAACAAAGGGCTGCGCTACTAGGAATTAGTGCCCGTTACGTTCGTAGCGGGGTGGCAGGAGCCCCTAGAAGCATATTTGCTCCTAGTAGTAAGGCCAGGAGCCCCTAGTAGCTTCTTGTTACTAGTAGCCATGCCCTTGTTACTGGCCTCCATCCTAGTAGCGATGACCTTCAACTAGAAGCAGAAGCAGTTTTAGATTGGTTTTACTATACAAAAACTCATAGAGAATCTAAAACCAACAATTTGGACTTGTAAAAAGGGAATTAGTAGGTACAACTAGATCTCAGCAACTAAGTAGGTTAAACATCAATGCAGACGGTTTTTGATCACCTTTGTGCTGCACAACAAGGGAGCCTAGTTCAAGGCCAAGGTTTTGTGCTAAACCAGACTCCGCAGCAGCTATGAAACGCCCAAGTGTTTTGTTCTCGAGGCCATCGTTTCCGCTGGCCTTTGCGTGCTGTGTGCGCTTTGACTGCAGAGGGCCAAACTTGTGCTCACAACAGGGTTCACTGCACATTTGTATCTCTCCAAGCACATCAACAATTCAGAAGACCGAAAAGTCAACCATTTCTTTAGGATGGAGGCCATCGGTACTAGGTTGGAGGGCATCTCTTAGGTTCCTTAAAGTCTTTTTGCGTATTTTTCTTGAACCGAAGTTATGTTTCTAATAGCCAGGAGCCCCTAGTAGCGTCCTTGTTGAACCGAAGTGTCTTTCGCTGAGGCGTTGGGCTCTCGGCATCCGTTTTCCACTTTTGTTGCTTTACTTTGCCCCGCGCCACTTACCGGGTGGGCAGCGGCGCTACAAGTGAGCGCCGAGTGATGCGCACCGTGCCTTTGGTGCAAAGAGTCAACATGGAAGGAACAAGTGCCTTACTAGTAACAAGTGCCACGCTAGTAGTAACAGGTGCCTTACTAGTAGTAACAAGAAGCTAGTAGAAACAAGTGCATTGCTATTAGTAACAAAGGCCATCGCTACTAGGAGCAAGGACGCTAGGTTGGAGGCCATTGCTAATGTTTCTATTCCATACAGGATGTAATGATGGCTTTGTGAAGCGAAAAGGTACAGATACATCATCTTGAATCTTGAGCTGAAAGGAAGCGGAGCAAACACACAACTCTTTGGTAAGGGGAACATGGAAGAAAGAGATAACTTTGGTTGAAGCAGAAAGGGATAAAGAAAGGTCGAACGCCTAGAGCTTCGTTTTTCTTAGATTTCGATCCACATTCTAGCGAGCCAGTGCACTTGCAGCCATCCCCCTTCCTCTATGGCACTCCGGAGACGGTAAATCGTTTGTTCCTGCGATCCTCCATATTGCATGGTTTTGGTGTTTTTTCTTCACCTAAAATCACTTTTTTCATCACAGCTGCGCTTGATGAGTTGATGAGTCTCATTGAGTCTTGTGTTGAACAGGCTCAGCGCAATTGGGTGGACGAGTTCCAAGACTTCCGCGACAGTGGCACGAAGCCCAAAGGAGTCGACGAGTCGAAGAGACTTCGACGAATACAATGAACATACTATTAGCTACTTAAGCACTTAAGCTACTAGCTTCTTACCTCTAAGAGCGATGGCCTCCAACCTACTAGCGAAATGGCAGAATAGAAATAGAGGAACACAATGAACATGAGTATAGAAACGCTACAGAGTAGTGACACTCCAAATGTCTTCAACGATAAATAAAGTTCTACTAAATGAAATACAATCATTTTTTCCAAAGGTTTGGCACTCAGGTTACGACGTGGCCAAGCTGATGCTGAAGAAAGCCCAGGAGCACCTCGACCTGTCCTTGTCAGCCTGTGTTGCAGCGTCTTCCACAGACTCACAGACTGTGTTGCTGCTGCTGATAGCTGCCGAGGGTTCTTGTTTCTTTCCCATTCTTCCAACGAATCAGCCTCAACGCGAGGACCAGAAAAGCATAGGAAACCTTCAAGTGGATTCCCACCTTGAATCAAGTTCTCAATACAAGACAGCCAAGTTTCTCAGAGCAAGTTTCCCCCAAATCTGCAAACCGCTTATGTTTAGTCAGAGCGCTTCTTGAAGGAAGCTCCCCGCTCTCAGGCAGGGGGAGCTTCCTTGAAGCGTGAGCTTTCCTGCGTCCTAGCTAGAAGCTAACTTAGTCTAGTAGCTTACTAGTCCTTCACTTTCCTATTCCTAGTAGCGATGCCAGGAGCCCCTAGTAGCGTCCTTGCTCCTAGTAGTAAGGCCAGGAGCCCCTAGTAGCTTCTTATTCCTAGTAGCGATGCCAGGAGCCCCTAGTAGCGTCTTTGCTCCTAGTAGTAAGGCCAGGAGCCCCTGGAAGCGTCCTTGCTCCGAGTAGTAAGGCCAGGAGCCCCTAGTAGCGTCCTTGCTCCTAGTAGTAAGGCCAGGAGCCCCTAGTAGCGTCCTTGCTCCTAGTAGTAAGGCCAGGAGCCCCTAGTATCTTCTTATACTTGCTTCCGGATCGCTTGTTGCTACTTCTTACTACCAGCTACTTAAACTACTATGGCCGATTTCAAGGCAAGCAGTCTGCACAGTCTGCACAAAACCTGGCACATTCGTTGCACCAAGGAAAGGCAAAGGAGACAGATGCTTGGCACAAAGTGTGGAATTTTCAGATCTAGCAGATTCTAATAGCGATGGCCTCCATCCAACCTACAAGCGATGGCCTCCAACCTAGTAGCGATGGCCTCCAACCTAAGGGCGATGGCCTCCAACCGGCCTCCACCCAATGTTTTTGTAGAAACCATAAGATTGAAATTGGAGTGGGGGGAGAGGAAGTCACAGTTTGTATGATCGGTTGCATACTCTTGTAATCGGTCTTGCAACATTGTCATCCATTTCACAACATTGTCAAGGTGCGGAAAAGAGGGGGTCAAACTGCCAGAGGAAACGCGAAGAACGCCGTAAAAAACATGGTTTCCTGCATGCAAGACGTTCCAAGAAAGATCGGCTATTTTCATCAGTGCATGATGGAAAACCACGTCACGGTTCATTGCAGGTATCATGAAAAGTGGCTACAATGCATCCAACGCAGGGGTTGGTTTTCGACGTGCAGTTTGCTTTCGTGAATCAAAACAACAGCGAGCAGCTGGAAATCGCAGGCTCGTTTCATTGCCAGGCTTGCACGGATGCAGTTCAAAGTGTGCACAGGAAGATTTTGGAACATCACAGGATCCCCCAACGCGAACCAGAGCCTTTTTAAGGGTGTCTTGAAAGAAGCTGTCTTGGTTGCCACCATTGGTCACCTGACCGGTTGCTTGAGGACTGCTCCAGGCATCGCGCACCCTCTCGCAAGATGACAACAACGCAGCAGGGGCGGCAACTTGGGCTGAAAGGTTTAGTGATATTCAGAAAGATAAGTATTCTTATCGGAGGCCATCGCTAGTAGGTTGGAGGCCTTTGCTATTAGGTTCAGTTTCCCACCAAATCTGGGAACCAAATGAATAGTGCGAGAAGCCTGAACTTTCCTGCGCTCTGCTAGGAGGAAGCTTCCTAACTACTAGCTTCTTACCTCTTACTTACTAGCTACTCTCAAGCTCGCCGCACGCCTTCCCCCTCTAAAAAAGACCGCTGGACTTGGCCGAGAAAAACGTGGCTTGCTTTGCGAACGGTCAAAAGCTTTTTGCCTCAGGCTCTCCATGCTATCCGTGATCTTCTGGGGTTTTGCTGGCCTGTTTCGGTCTTGCTATAAATTCCTTCGGTCATGTTGAACATGTTGCGTTTTGCATGCTGTGCTACTTACTATTTTGAAGAAAAGAGCAGGACAATGATGAACAATTAACAAAAAAAGCAAAAGGGAATTTCGACAGCGGGAGAATGCTGTGAGACGCTTCGAGTGGCGTCCGACATATTGAGGTCTCAGGAGGGTATTCTGCAGCGAGAGCTCACCGGACTTCGAACTCAACTGAGTGCATTGGACACTCGTGGGGGTACCGAGTTTCCAGGAGCAAAGGACGCTACTAGGGGCTCCTGACCTTACTACTAGGAGCAAGGACGCTACTAGTAACTATTTGCTACTAGTTTGTACTGGAATCACATTGGAGTTCAGGGACGGTTCACAGATGTTGGAAGTACACTGCAGTTGAAACTTTCCTGCTGTCAGGCTTCTCCCAGGTGCAAGAGAGGCTACAAGAGTCTGAGGACCACCTTTGTTTGGAGTGTCGAAGTTCAGTTGCTCAATAATAGCGATGGCCTCCAACCTAATAGCGATGGCCTTCATTCTAAGGTTTTATGCAAAGACGCTTGGATCTTGGTCTAGTTTGGTTCTTGTCGCAGAATGCTTCTACTAGCTTTGTCACGCTTCCTGGGCTTGCACGGGGCATCTTCAGGAGCGTGAAGGTTTGTTGGGAAAGCGCCTTACAGTGCCTTGGAGAGACTTGCAACTCAAGGGCTTTTGATGTAAAGTCACACTGCTGCTAGAAGATCTGCATCCAACTTCGAGTGGAGTAAAGCTCATAAAAGAAAGAGTACTCTTGTACTCCTGTTGCATGGACGAAAACACAAATACGGCCTAAAGAAGCGAGAAAGATAGAACCCAAGTAACAAGTGCATCGCTTCTAGTAACAAGTGCCTTACTAGTAGTAACAAGAACGCTACTAGGGGCTCCTGGCATCGCTACTAGGAGCAAGGACGCTACTAGGGGCTTGCGCCTTGGGAAATGGACTTAAGTTTTACTCAGTTACCCTACTGCTCTGAGCGAGAAGTCGAACACTGTCAATAGTTTTATTCTTGTTTATCCCTTTTCACTTTGCTTTATATTTTCTAAATTTCTTGCCACAGTGTTTCTTGTTGGTACCCCATGGTGCCAGGGGTGATTGTTCTACTCATCCACCATGCAAAGCTGAAAGCTCTATATGCGGCATTCAAGATTCCGCATTCCAGTTCCGCAAACCTGGGTCGTTAAACGATGGCCTCCAACCTACCAGCGATGGCCTCCAACGCAAAGTTTCTGTCTTCTTGCACCACATTTGTCTCCTCTTTTTCTGCATGCGCCTCAGCAAAGCTGAGCAGAACACTGCAGCTCAGGCGGCCTTGAAGCAAGAGCGTGAGCTGAAGTTCGCGCTGGAAACAGCTCGACAGCAGTCCCTTGGTTTTCGCCAGCAAAGTAATGCTAAGAACAATGGACAGAAAGTGAAGGAACACCGATTGAAAACACGGAGAAGGAGCTAGAAAAGTACCAGTAGAACGACGGTGAAGATCACCATTACGACATGCACAAAACAGGTTTCTCATTGAATATCCTTTTCCTGTCGAGTCTTGTTTCTGGTTCCTAATTTGATTTCTTACTCTTTCTCTTTTCCCTTTTGAAACAAGGCATCCATCCAGGAAGGGACTGTCTCTTCGACATATAACTTCTTCATGTTGATGTAGGTTGGAGGCCATCGCCCTTAAAATGGAGGCCATCGCTAGTAGGTTGGAGGCCATCACTAGTAGGTTGGAGGCCATTGCTAGTAGGTGGGAGGCCATCACTAGTAGGTTGGAGGCCATCGCCCTTAGGTTGGAGGCCATTGCTATTAGGTTGGAGGCCATTGCTATTGGGTTTCTGTTTCGCCGTCAGGTATGAGAGTGTCTCAGAGGCACGGCTGATGGGGTGGCGCTTTGGCAGAGCATCCTATGGACGCATTGGCAAGACCATTCGCAGCAAACTTCCTTTTGCCATATTCGGTGGGAATTTGATATGCACCAACCTAAAAGCAATGGCCTCCAACCTAATAGCGATGGCCTCCAACCTACCAGCAATGAAGAATTCAAGAACGACTTGTCAACACCTACTGTGCTACTTCTCTCCTCTTTTGTAAAAAGAATGCCGTGCAGGAGTTGGAAGGTTTGCAAGATTCGGAGACTCAACTGAAGCGCCAAGTGCAAGAGCTCGTGCGGCGACCCAAAAAGAGTGAAAACATCGGTTCTTTACTAGGAGCAAAGGGCATCGCTACTAGAATCAAGGACGCTACTAGTAGCTCCTGTTGCTACTAGGAACAAGAAGCTACTAGTAGAAATAGACCTTCAGCGTCCTAAAAAATCTAGGAACCACATCATTTAGTGCGTGAGCGTCCTTGCTGCTAGTAGCGATGCCCTTTGCTCCTAGTAGCGATGCCCTTTGCTCCTA